CATATTTTTCCTCTGAAGACTTCAAATTTTGACTTTACTTCATCATTTCTCTTGTTAAAATGTCTTATAAAAATCAAATTATTTATAATTATAATAGTATTATTTCAATTTCTTTTGGCTGAGCAACTAAATGATATATTATAAATTATTTTCTCTTGAGAAATGTATGATTGAAGTTCTAAAGTTATTTATATATTAATCAATTAATTTGTGAAGAATTAATTAAATTATATTATATTAAGAGAGCTATGAATTATATTAAATAGAAAGCTTCTAGTATAAGAAAATTTACAAATAAGATTGATTATATTCTTAAACTTATAGAAAAAGATCAAAATTAAGTAAATAATATTTGTATAGGAGTAGAAAAAAATAAATTATATTGGCACTGGCTAATATATTATGCTAATAATGAAAATAGATATTAATATTTATATAGAGAGATTGGTAAATGTGAACAAAATTATGTGAATTACAACTTGCTAAACAATTTAAAGAATAGCAATAATATGTATTAATACTTAGTTAGAGTTTATTTATATTTATATTTATCTTATTTAAATATAATCTATATATTTTGCATAAAAATTGAAGGAATACATCTCCTATCTTATGTAATTATATCTCAAAATATTCAAATTTCTCAGATTAATTTAATTAGAAAAAAAAGAGATGAAATTAATATTGATAAACATGCAGATTATAAAATAGTTAGAAAAATTAAAAAAAAACTACTTACCTCTTATAATAGTAATAATGAAGATGCATTAAGAAATATATTTTTAACAGGATATAAAGTCTATAATGACAAAACTTTTAAATATTTTATTACTTATGAAGATAGAAAACTTAAAGATAGTACTAGCCCTTGAATAATCTTATATTATTTGATAATGAAAGTTCTAAAATTAAAGAATTATATACTGTATTATTAACAATTAGATCTGTTCAAGCCTGAAAAAATAACTAACTATTATTATTAGTTAATAATCTCTAATAAGTTCTGATTAAAGAATAAATATCAGTATTACTTGAGTATTGATGAAAATTATGATCTAAATATTGATTAGGCTTCAGTACTATTGATAATAATTGAAAATAAAACCAAGCATATTACTTTTTTAGTATTTGATAGGACAAGATGTAATAGGTTAATCTTAATTACTGGATAAAATAATTAAATAATGAATTAATATTAATATTAACTCTATTAGAATTAAGTAATAAAGAGAATAATTAGATAATTAGACTGATTATTATTGCAGTACAAGAAAATATACTTCACTTTGAATCTCAATGCAATCATCTATAATACTATAAAGATTTGCTAATAGAAAAGATTTCAAAAGAATTAGAGATTATCAATCAATTTAAATATAATACTTAATAGCTATAATTGACAAACATCAGTTAACAAAAATAGATATACAAGAACTTTTTTGTGGAACTATTCTCTATTGATTTCATATAATGTAGATATTAAATGGTCACCTTAAAGAATAGAATATTTCACACCAACTAAGACTAATATTTATTTTGTTAAGTCAAATTATTATTTGAAATAATAATAATTATTTTTAATAAAAAATTATATAATTAGATATTTGATTGTGCTTGAGTTTAAGCTAATTGATAGATATCATATCAAATAAGAGACTTTTAAAATATCTTATATTATAAGAAACTTATCAACTTGCTCCCTCTAACTCAAGAGCAAAAAAAAGACTTATTAATGATCTTAATAATAATTAAATATATGATAAATAAAGAATGACATTTATCAATACTGGTCAGCTTTCTAGAAATTACTTTAAACTAAATTCAATGATAACTAACAATTATACAAAATGAATTAATAGAATAATTAAATCATCTTTGCCAAATAAGCAAACTATAATAATATTTATTGAAAGATTATATAGAATAAAATTATTATGTGAAAACTATTATAAAGAAGAAACTGGTCAAATCACTTACAAATCTGACTTGGTAATATTATTTAATATATAAGTTATAAAATAGATAAGTTAAAGACAAATAATTAGAAATTCAATTAAAAAAATAATAAATAAATAATTTAAATTATTTAAATTAATTTACAGAAAAATAAATTTATAAGAATAGTCTCTAATATAAATTGATATTTAAATCAGAGATAATTATATTTTCTTTTATATTATATTAAAAATTCAGATCATTCAGATTACTATTTTATTAAGAAAAATTAAAGTTCACTAACTGAGTACTAATTATTAAATAAGAAGCTTATTCATGTAAATGAAGACTATTTCCAGTATCTTTAGTCTATGATGAAAAAGCTCTCTATAATCTTTGAAATTGAGTCAAGAGAGAGATATTATCTAACTAATATTATGACTGATAAATATTTATTCTGTTTAAACTATATTTAGAAAGAATCATTTTATAATATTTGCAAATATTATCATATTACTCAAATATTTTCAGAAGTTAAGAAGTTAAATTATAAAAAATTCTATGAAGAGATCAAAAATAAACTAGTGATATATTTTAAAAATAAAGAAAGAATATTGCTAGCTGATCAAAAAAATAAAATAATATATTCTGAATCAGTAGAAAATACTTATAATTATATAGTACATCTTTATATCTATCAAGATAATCATCTAATTAGTATTATGTATATTAAGTATTCTGATTTAATTACTAATTAGCCTTCTTTTTTAGAGAATAAAATTTTTTATCCATCCAGTTTGCAGTCTTCTGTTTATATGAATCTCTTTCATCTTTTTGAACTAAATCAGAGATAATAAAGTAATACAGATATTTTTTTTAAGTTATTTACAAAGTCTTGTAAGACTAATCAAATTTTAAATATTTAAATAACTAATGAAGACTTGTCATCATTTACATAAAAATGCAAAGCACAAAGTATTAGAAATTTAAAATGGAGATAATAGTAAGAGATTAATAAATAATATCAATAAATTAATTAATTTTTTATTTGACTCATTTTTCAGTGCTAAAATTATATCTATCAGTCTTACAAGAAATCCTGTTATGACAAGTTTCAGACTTTATTATCAAGTTCAAGTTCTCAAACTTGTTCTGATATAGCTATTGAGATTTTAATACCAATTCAAAATTCATATATTTGATAGAAATTATCATATTTTGCAAAGAAGATTGATGAAGTTTGTAAAAAAATATTAATAACACTTGGATACTCAGCTTTAAAAAAATAATTTTTATCAATATTTAATAATTTTATCTATATTAATATAATAATCAAAGATTCCAATATCTTTATTATATATTATAATTACCATTACTCATGTTTACTAGTTAATGAATAAATTATTATAATGATACAATATAATAAATCAACTACTATTATATTTTTAAGAAAAGAAAGAGAATTATAAGATATCATAAATGAGCTATAATTATATATCTGACATTATAAATATAGCTAATAATAATGCAACAGATAAATCTTAAAGCAATAATAAAAATATAACTTTATTACGAATATATCAAAAATAGAATCTAAATTTGAAGTACTTGTTAATCTATTAAAAATAGAACTCCTAATATATGGTATAAGTTACTTAAAAGTATCATTAGTCTGAAATTTTTTTTGATAATAGCATGTGATTTTTATATAAAATTACTGCTAATAGATGGCAAAAATTTTTTTACTTATTATATAATAAAAAAATTTTTTAATTATACATAATATATATTATTATATATTAATTTCCTTACTAAAAAAATTCTTTGCATTATTACTAGTTTCATCAATCAATGATCTCTTTGTTATTTCAGAAATCATAAACTCTCTTTTATTTTATTTATGCTATTGGATAGCACGTTTAGCTTTGCTGAAACGTGACATTAGTTGAAAATAAAATCATTAGTACATGCATATATGCTTATCGGGAAAGTTCGAAATTATCATAATGTGGTCACATGATCACCTATTGGAATTTCATGAGAGATGAGTCCAAAATTTTAATTTTATTAATAAAACTCCTGATTTTTAAAATCTTATAACTCAAAATATTTTTAATAAATATAAAATTTGAAATCATAAATATGAAACTCAAATGGCCATTCTATTATAAATATGGTGTTAAATTATTATTCTATCATTATATATAAAGTTATAAGGCCTCAAAATTGACTAAAATTTTGATGGCTATAAGTGACCTGCACCATATTAAAAACGAAACTTTTGAGGGACAGTGTTGAATCAGGTGATCTTTCCGGATAAAATTTATAATCGTGGTGCACAGATTTTTTGATCGACCATAAATCTGTCTTGGACTAGGCAATTCTGTCCCCACATCACTTTGACTTTGATCGGGCGTAATGAAAATTCAGAATCCAATTAGGAAAATTGAAATTTGGTTCATTAAAACTGGTCTCAAATCGCAACGCATGATAAAACACAGTATGTAGTTTCATAGAGCTATTTTTTAGTTGTTTTGAATTTTTCATTTGACCTAAAAAATGCATTACTTTGTTACTACCGATTATAAATTTCGGCACTGGCCCGAAAAGATCACCTGATTCAGCAATGTCCGTCATAATAAATGATCGTTATAAATCAGGAATGAGTAATTATTTTTAAAAAAGAGCCATAGCTTGTAGTAAATTGGTTTAGCTTCTGTATCATGCTTCATTGCTTTTAAAGTTTGCAAATTTTATTTGTCTTTAAGTGTCATGCACTGTATCTACATCTCGAGTATTATTGTGATGATTAGTATTATTAGATAATTTAAGATCATGACGTGCTTCATATTGTAAAATTTCTTCTCGGAAATCAAAAGGATAATTGGAACCAACCAATTCATCGGAAGAAGGTTTTGGACCAAGGGTCCCAATTACGGTACAAACCTCTTCAAATTCATTATATTCGACTCTTTAAAATTATGATTAAATTTGTATTTAAATTTAATGATCGATTAATCAGATCGGAAAAACCAATCGAATTCAAGTAAAAAAAAAAACAAGACTCACTCCACAACTTCAAATGCGACCTCATCATCTTTTTCTATTACATGGTTATTCTCAAGATCAATCCAATTACCTAAACTTACACTTTCAATATCCAAAGTCGGTTTTATCCACTCTTTATTTGGCCGCCATCTAAATTTATCGGTTGGTATGTATTGAATTGGTATTGATGCGTTGTAATATCTATATAGTAACATGCCAATGTGAGTAGGAGACTGAAGTTGAACCACGCCAACTAAAAGAAAATAAAAATGAAAGATTAAAATTGCAATTAGGGAAGTACTGTTGAAAATTTTTATTTAATTCTTACATAGTTTTTTACCCTTCTCCGGAGTAAATGAGATCATTTCACAATGTACCCAAATATTCGCAAATGGCGCATCATCAAACAAATAACCAGCACCATCTGGAATACTGATGTTTTCGAGAGAGATGGGAAATCCTTTCAGTTGCGGAACATATCTAAAAAACAAAAATCTTAATTTACAAAATAATAAAATAGAACAAAAAAAATAAATTATTTCACCTTAACAAAATTTCCTCAAAATATTCCATGACAAAAGCTTCTACATTTTTTAAGAAAGGTGGCGCCAAATGAATCAACAGTTTAGCCGTAACTTTTGAAAATGGTAAATTGTTTAAAGATTCCTGGTTTATGATATCGATGTTTAAATCAGCGATTTTATTATGTCTCGAGTGTTTCTTTTTCTCGGATTGTTTCTTATCTGTTGAGATTTGGTCACCTGAATCAGCATATTTTTCCTTTTCTTTTCCCTTCTTTTTCGTTTTTACGTCCTTTTTTTCTTTTTTCGTTTTTTTTTTTAAAGGTTTTAAAGATTCCTTCTCTTCTGATTTTTTCTTTTTCCTTTTTCTTTTTTCTGTAGAATCCGGAAAGGACCTTATTACATCCATGATAAACTGGGAGCAAGTACACAAGATAGAAAAAAGCAATAGATTAAAATTTATTGCCACATGTTTTTTATCTAAATAATAGCATATGATCTTATCTAGATAATCAGAATTAACTAGAATCATTTATTGCTTTTATTTCTTTTATTATCTTTTTAATAATATAAAAAGAAAGAATGATTTTAGTAGCTGAATTTATTTCTTAATTTATATTTCAGGCAAATTTGTCTGGAATTTTAAATTATTTTAATAATTTTCATTATATTATTAAATTTTATTAAATAAAAATCTTCTATTATATAATATTTTAAAATTAATAAAATCTTAGTTATATTTTAACAAATAAATTTTTATATTATTAAAAATATAGAACTTTTTACTATTTAAATAAAAATTTTAATAATAAAAATTAAGATTTAAATTAAATTATATAAAACTCTAAAATAATAAGTCTTTATTTATTAATAAAAAAATTATTAATATATAGTTCCTGGCAAAAGTAGTGGTGTGTAATACTTTTGTCTATATTTTAATAATGAAGTATCTAAAACTTACGAAAGTTTATAGATATATTTTTTAGAATATTACAAACAAGATTCTCTAATAGCGCAAGGTATATTAGCTTAATAAAATTTTGCAAAATTTTGTGTCAAATATGTTGGATTAGGTATCTACATAAAATAACTTTGAAAAAAAAATTATTAAAAATATTTTTGTAAAAATATATTTTAAGATATAGAGAATATGTATAAGTTTAAAAAAAATTTTATTCATATTTATTTAATAAATACTAGTTAAAAAAAGACTTTCTTTTGATGAATTTGATAATAAATCATAGTAAAATATAGTAAAAATAAATTTTTATTATGATTTATTATAAAATTCATCAAAATAAAATCTTTTTTTAACTG